GGCGGGACTAGAACTCACCGTCTCCTGGTGATTGGCCCAGAGTCACCCAATGGGCTCTCATGCCTAAGGCGGGACTAGAACTCACCATCTCCTGGTGATTGGCCCAGAGTCACCCAATGGGCTCTCATGCCTAAGGCGGGACTAGAACTCACCATCTCCTGGTGATTGGCCCAGAGTCACCCAATGGGCTCTCATGCCTAAGGTGGGACTAGAACTCACAATGCCTGGTTTCTAGCACGCTCCTTTCACTGCTGGGCCAAACCATCTGTGCCGATCCTACCTTCATCTCCAACCTCAAGGAAGAAACAAACCCTGGAAGAAAACAGAGATTTCCTCACTCAGGGACTTCGGGGTGTCTTAGACACCCCTTTTAATGATACCCTGGAGCCATGATGGCAAACCCATTGCACGCGTGCCAGAGGTGGCATTCAGAGCCCTCTCGGTGGGCATGTGTGCTATTGCCGGCTGCTTTTCTGGTTTCCGGTGTGCATGGTCTTCGTGGGCGCCAGAGAACTGGGAAACGGCTGTAAATGCCCTGAAAAGTGCCCTCAAAATAGCCCCCCAAATGGCCAAAATCGGGCATGTGCATAGTGGCCAGCTGGTCTTCAGGTTTCTGGCACTGTGGCGTGCAAGCATGCTCCTTCGGTGCCAAAAAGGTTTGCCATCCCTGCCATAGAGTCTGTCTCCTCTCCCTCAGACTGCTGGGCCGTGGGGGTGGCCCCACTTTCAAGCTGGGTTCAAGAAACCTGAAGATGAAGGTCAGATTGAAGGGGGCCAGGGGCACAAATGCCAGGTGAAGTCTCTCCCACTTTTAACCTCGTTCCTCACTGCAGTTCCTCGCCCTTCTCTCTTCCTCCCAGCTGCCCTCCATAATCAATGCTGGGAAAAATTTGGGAGTTTCCCCCTCCTCCTCCTCCTCCTCCTCCCTTGGCAGATGATTTCAATTTGGGGTATGTGTAAACAACTCCTCCAAAGCTTTTGAGCTTTTACAAAAGATGCTAAAAATAGCTTCCAATGTGAGCCTGGGAGGGTCTGCCCAGGATTAAAAGTCACACGGCTGGGATGGGTGGCAGCCCCTGCTTTGTTCGGGGGGGGCCTGGGGGGGTGACCTTGGCATCGGCACAAGGCTGGCACTGGCTGGTGGGGAGGGGGAGTCTGTCCTCCATCCCCACCTCCCCTTTCGCAGGGCCCTGGAATGCCCCTTGCCAGCCCCCCCCCTTCCCCCGGCCAAGGGGAGCTAAATTCAGTGCCTGACCTTCTGCAACCAGAGTGGCATCTGCTGTAGGTCAAGGTTGGCATCAGCCAGAGAAAAGTCTGGGGTTTCTTGGCTCTGCCAGACTCAAAACGGCTAAAACCCACCAGTTCAGGCCCCGGTGCCATCCGAGGGTTTTTTTCCTCCCCTCATTCCTCCTCCTTTTTCTCCCTTCAATGAATGGAAACTAATCAAGGAGAGAAGCAATTTAGAGCTAAGGAGAAATTTCCTGACAGTGGGAACAATTAACCCGTGGAATGGATTGGCTACAGAAGTTGTGTTTGCTCCAACGCTGGAAGTTTTTAAGAAGAGATTAGCTAACCATTTGTCTGAAGTGGTGCAGGGTTTCCTTCAGGGGGTTGGACTAGAAGACCTCCAAGGTCCCTTCCAACTCTTCTGTTATTCTGTAATTCTGTAAGGGTCTCCTTACAGAAGACCTCCAAGGCCCCTTCCTTGGACCTCCAAGGCCCCTTCCAACTCTGTTATTCTGTTATTGTGAGATCAGGTGCAAATCAAGGCTCGGTTCCTGTGTTTTCACCTCTGGGCAGACTGAGATATGAGTCACCCGTGTTTGTGGTCATGGAAATGGCCTGATTCTCCCGTGTGGTTTGCTCTGCAGAAGCAACATTTTCAACTCCAGGTTTTGCAAAGTGAGTCATGCCGCCCCTCCCGTCTCAGGTGGGAGCACCTGGGATGACCACAAGGCCCACGGCAGAAGCTTCCTTGCAGAAATAGACCTGAGAAAGGTGGGGGGGGGGAATACATTAGAAGCGAATTTCTCCATCTCAGCAACTTCGCAGTGCGTAGGCTTCAACCCCCAGGATTCCCCAGCTAGCAGGAAATGGGTAGACTTCAGTTCTCTGAATTCGCAGGCAGGCAGGTGATATGGATGAATGGGGTAGGCAGGTAGATAGAGGATACAGATCTAGATAGATAGATAGATAGATAGATAGATAGATGGATGGATGGATGGATGGATGGATGGATG